TTTCACTAGGCAGCGGGGCCGCTTTTACGGTAACCGTCATCTTTGTGCAGCACCAACACCTGCAAACAAATCAAACAAGATCAAGCAAAATAGTTAACTGGGATGGCAGGCCTAAGCCAGCCGCGGTACAAAGACATGCACCCGCACAACGCTTCCTGAAGTGTGTACTGTACATGCGACAGTTTGTCGCAAGCTACGTCGGTTGAAGATATATTCTTCTAAACATCTCGGTGAAGGCCCGAAATGATTCGCAATCACAAAAATAGACGATCTCTCCGAGCTTCGCGGTGTATAGAACTATACTCGAAAATGCCGCTAGCATGTTGGTTATGGTTTAAAATCAAAGCGTAAATGGCGGTCTTGTAACATCTTTGCAATATCGTAAATGCATTTGTTCGAGTCATTCGGTCTTCAAACGTAAAAAAAAAAAGAAAAAAGCATGTAGATAAAACCGCGAAAACTTATCACAGTTACATACAGCAATGATTTTATAACTAACATTACAACTTGAGCATCGATCATCTCTCCAGCGAATGAGAGCTCGAGAAGCTAAGGTGCCTACAAAAAGAAACACCTTTCGCTGACGGGCAGAGCCTCCGCCTAAATTGCGTTTAACGGCGTAAATAAAGCGTGTTTTTTTTTTTTTTTTTTTTTTTTTAAGGAAGGACGTGGCGATGTTAAAAGGCACGACTGGATGTCATCGTCCGCTGCGTGTTTTTCTAAAATAGAATTTTGTATATGAGGGTTCAATCCATTAATCGAAAAAGAGATTTTTTTTTTTTTTTTTCAAATATAGTCACGTTTTCAAGAATAAAAAAAACTTGTATGGTAAACAGCAGGCACGTAGCCAGAATATTGTTTCGGGGGGGCGCCCATGACAAATTGCTGTACGACGGGGAGGGGGGAGAGGAGGTCCCAGCAAAGTGGAAGATTTCGGGGGGGGGGGGGGGGGGGGAGGGGCCCGGGCCCCATGGGCCTCCCCCCTGCTACGTGCCTGGTAAACATATAAAAACAAAAACAAAAATAACAAGCAGCTTTTTTTTTACGTTTTTGTTGCGCAGTTTTTTGAAGGAGAGACCAGTTTTGGCGGTAACGCGTTACGAGTATCGGCGTTACCGGTAACGCGTTATTTTTTGTTTCCGTAATGTAGTAACCTAGTCGTTACATTTCCAAAAGAGTAACGGCTAACGTAATTACGTTACTCGTTACATAGTCTTCCCAAAACCTGAAAAAAAAAAAAAAACTTAAATTGTTTTCGTGTTTCTATACTTCGTTTCACATTAACTCCAAACGCAGTTCAGTGAGTTGCGTAATTATAGGCGCCCAGTCATTAATTTTTGCACTCACGCAACATAACTTCAAACTTTTGCGTGCCTTTTTCGCCCGCAAAAAGTCCCACTTGGGCCAAAACCGCAACGCCCACGTGGTTTTCCCCAAAATCAAAAAACGCTGCCGCAAAAAAAAAAAAAAATTGTTATTGTCAATCTATAAATAAAAATAAAAAAGTAACGGGCGTTACTTTTTATCGGTAACGGTAATCGTAACGTATTCCCTTTATTTTAAAGTAACGTAAGTCGGTAACGCGTTCCTCTATTTTTGCAATTAACGAGTAACGTATTTCGTTACTTTTTTTTTTTTATAGCGCCTACAATACTGGGGGGAACTGAAAGAAAACGTCCGCTTTTCTCCTTAAAATCACGCGGCGACGAAGAGGCGCGTTGGTCAGTGGCGTTCCAGGCTCGTGCCAGTAAGCTTGTGTAAAGAGAAAAAAAAACATTCCTGCGCAACATCGTTGCGTGGCCTCTTTAATGGCGGACGTCTCCTACCCAGACTGGTCACAAGTGCGCATGCGCCGAGTCGTTGCGTGGCAAGAAGGAAAGCAGGCGGAGAGACGCTTGCACACGGTCGACGCTTTGGTCGCCTCCCCTCAGCTCGTCCTGCAAACGTGGGCTGTAAACCACGTGACCCCAATCCAGCAGTTGGAGACACTCTGAAATCTTGACACACCAAAATGATATACCGGCTCACCGGCTCCTATGACGAAATTTGTTGAAACCTCGGGACCATCCCTTTCCGTGCATAGGTGAGATAGGGCGGTAAAGTCGCGGAGACGCATTCCATGCACCCTTGGCCACTTGTTTTGCCACATCTTGTACCTTGCGTTGGCTGGCGCCCTATCGATACCGCCCATTTTCCTGACACGTCGTACGAGCTGTCTGACGTTTGGTCGCGCACGTGTATCAGTCGGACCTGACCCTCACTGATTATCAACATCATGGAACTATAAAAAAAAAAAGAAAAAAGAAACTTGTGATATTGCCATCTCGTGGTCATTGATGAGCATGACGCAGTTGTCCAGGCGTGGGTGTGACGCACCACTAAAACACGGGGTTCCGGGAAAGCATGGAAAAGCTCCCCCACCGATGGCGCGGGTGCATTCGGTTCCAGAGGGAATATACAGGGTATCTGAGTTTACGTAGAACAATTTTATCTTCTAAATAAATCTAATAAATAACTACAACTTTTTAGTTAACGTTTTACAACTGAAAATATACGTATCGTCTCAATTAAAAACTTGCTCAGCGTAATCGAAACCAGTAAATTTAAAGTGACTCGAAGCACATTGGAAACGCGGGAGTGCATCAAAGTTGCCACTCGCACAGCAGGCGCGATGTATTTATTTATTTTATTTATTTACAGAGTACCTACATCGCATCGAGGGCATTATTGTAGGAGGGGCAGGAAATAACACACATGCATAAAAACACAAAGTGATCACTTGTCCGCACAGATTAGATATACAGCCGAGAAAAAAATACACTGTTGTCCAAGGTGCTCACCACATCAACAGGCAGCAAGTTCCACTCTCTAATTGTCTTTACAAAAAAAGAATGACAGAGGCTGTTTGTTTTATAGGAATATTCAAAAACTTTTCCAGAGTTATCACACCTTGCTGAAGCATACGTTGGCCCCAAAAGATACTCATTCTTATTAATACCAGTATTATTATAATAAATGCGATGGAAAAGCTTCAATCTTAATTTTTGCCTTCGAATGCTCAAGGGCTCGCATCCCAGCATGGTTTTAACCTCTGTCATACTAGCGTATGGATCATAGTTACTAACAAATCGCGCTGCTTGATTTTGAAGTTTCTCTAATCTATCGATCAGATACTGCTGGTAGGGATCCCATATAACGCACGCATAATCAAGCATTGACCTTACGTGCAAGAAGTAGAGTTTCTTTTACGTCTCGGGACGCGTGCTTGAAATTTCTACGGATAAAAAACAATATTTTACTGACCTTATTAATTGTGTTGTCAATATGTTTATTCCATTTAAGTGATTGGTGAAAATAAACGTCAAGATTTTTACATTCAGTGACATTACCGATTGTCAGGTTTTTAACAGTATAACTTGTAAAAAATTTAGAGACGTTTCTAGCAAAATTAACGAGGTTACATTTTCCAATATTTAGGCTTATGTTTCATTGGTTACACCAGTAAGCTACCTTACCTAGATCGCTCTGTAGGATCTCGATGTCTCTCGTCGAATTTATTTCCCTGTAAATAACGCAACCATCAGCAAAAAGTTTTATTGTCGACTGAATATTTTGTACAATGTCGTTAACGTAAATTAAAAACAGTAACGGTCCAAGAACACTACCCTGGGGGACCCCTGAAGTCACGGAAACGACTGAGGATTTACTTTCACTTAAGACAACACATTGCTCACGGTCACTTAAGTAATTTCGTATACAATTTAGTACCTTACTAATAATATTTATAGAGGCTAGTTTTATTAGTAGAAGGTTGTGTGGTACCGTGTCGAAAGCTTTGCTGAAATCTAGAAAGACTGCGTCTACTTGCGTATTTTTGTCATTTGCTTTTAATAGCTAATGCTGGAACTCTGCTAACTGCGTGTTGCATGAAAATCCACTCCGAAAGCCATGCTGGGATGGAGTAAAAAAGTTAAAGCTATCAAGATATTTGAACATTCCGCTATATAAAATATGCTCAAAAAGCTTAGAGCAAACTGACGTTAGTGATATAGGCCTCTAATTTTCTACAAGTTTCTTATCTCCGGATTTAAAAACAGGAATCACATTCGCCGTTTTCCAATCTATTGGGACCAGCCCTGTCTCAAGTATCGTTTTAAATATAATAGACAAGTACTGTGATACAATCTCGGAACAGTTAATGAGAATAACAGGTGATATACCATCAGGGCCAGTAGCCTTTGACTGATCTAGGCCGCGCAAAAGAGAGGAAATACCACGAACATCAATATCAATATCCGCCATCATGCCAGTAAAACAACTATTCGGTGACTCCACCACATACCCAGAGAGTCCCGGAGAAAATACCGATTTAAAGTAGGAATTGAAGCATTCTGCCTTCTCCACATTTTCCTTTAACATTTGGCCGTCACCATTAAGAACTGGGATAGAAATATCGTCTGTCCTGCATGTCTTCACATATTTCCAGAATAAATTTGAGTTTCGTTTAAGATCGCAGTTTAGCCTGGTAAAAAATTACTGCTTAGCTAACTTTATTGTTACTTTTAATTGATTATTAATATACTTTAACCCTTGCAAATTAAGGACAGAGCTATCTTTACAACGTTTTTTGTAAGCCCATGTAGTGGAGAAACGCGGATGATAATCTAACCATCTGCGTTGCAGGCACCATCCTGTCTGTAAATCAAACACCCTGTAGGGATATAATGGACGTAGATACCGACCTTCAAATAGCGAGTATTTGCAGAAATATTCAAGCGCATATCAATACGGTGCGCCCCTTGTATAAAGGCTACCTCTCTCAACCAGGCTATCGACTAATGACCTCTGTAAAGAATAAGGAACTCACCAGATGATTTCATGGAATCATATTGCCAGTCTTCCCGTGAGTATTTCGTCACAACTTAACAATCGATAACATATCTGCCCGGCAATATATAATATACCTTGCCGTTCAGCGTTGCGCAAAAGATAATATTACAGCGTTCGTATAAATAAGGGAAGCGTTCGTCTATGTAGCACCCGTCTTATCGCCGCTATGAAAACCTTCGTCTGCGTCGTGCTACTCCTGAACACCCTTGTTTCAGGTGAGTTAACTTCGATGACATCTTTTCTCTTTTAGTTATAGTTTGTCCGAGACGCTGCCGACGCTAGGAGGTAATGTGACCAGTCAGGCACGTCAAAAGCGTAAGTCACTGGGCATATTCTGTTTATGATTGGTCCTGCGATGATAAAGAACGTACAGAAACATGACGGACGATATGGTGCGCTCTCGACGCTGTGTCATCAGTCTCATCTCTTCGTCGGTTGCGTCTGGACTTGGGTGAATCGAGGTATACACCAATTCAAGTCTGACGTCACGCCAGCACGGGGGCGCTGCTGTAGGCACTGGGCATGCGCAGACGCATTTCTCGCCCGGCTCTAGTTTTTGCGCACGCGCAATGTCTATACACTGCAGGTGAGGGCAAACCGGGCGTGTTTGCAAACAACGTGTTGCTTCATCTAGCAATGATGAATTTAGACGCTTCTTTTTATAGTCAGTGAAAGCGTAAGGAACGCAGGGTGTGGTGATGCATCTCCTTAACGTTCCGCAGCCAATAGGATTGAGACTTTAAGGCGGACTCGATGGAGCGAAAAGAGCGACGAATTTCGCCCGGCGACGCTCGCTCTGCGTCGGAAGAGTGGCTGTTGTTGCGCCGCGCGCAAAGCGAACGCGCCGCCGGGCGAAGCTCGTCGGATCTTCGCCGCATAGTCTTTCCATGGGACGAAAAATGAACAAATTTTGCTTGGCGGCTTTTTGCTCTGCGCGTGAAATCAGCACAGTGGCTGCTACGTCGTGCGCAAAGCGAGCGTGCCGTCGGACGACGTTCGTCAGTTATTTGTCGCACAGTTTGCTCCATGGAGTTCAGCCTTTAAAGGGCGGTTTGAACCAAGCCGCAACGTCCCCCTTTACGTCACTCCCCTCCCCCCGGATTTCTCCGGGACCCTTTTCTCTGCTTGGTTGGAACCGGCCCTTAGCCGATAAGAACGCCGATGTACGAACCACGACGCGAGAAACATGAAGATTATAATTGGCAGCGACTCTACCTTCAAAGTCCTATAATGCTTGAAATGCATTAGTGCATTATAAGGAATAGGTGAAGGAGTTGGTGAGAAAATAGGTGGTTCGCGTGGCGTAGATTTTTCCGCTAAATTACGCGGGGAAACAGAATGGGCGTATAGGTCATGCGACGTTGATTTCTCCCGCTAAATATAGCGGGGAAACTGAATTGATGTCTTGGTCACAAGACGCGAATTTTTCCGCTAAATTTAGCGGATAACTGATTTGACGTATAGGTCACGTGACGTCAGGTAACATCACGTGACGCCACTTTCCCGCCAAATTTATCGGGGAAACCACCAGCTTCTCAGGGGGCATTCAGCGGGTCGGCTGTTTGCCAAACAACCTTATGCCGTGACTTCATGTTCGCATTCACTGCTCAAGGATGTTACTTGTTCCTACTGCCACCCCTTTCACCCTGTTTTTCTGCTGCGTTTCCAGGCACCACAGCAGTCTGTCTATGCTTGTTCTGTTACTTTTTAGCGACAGTGATCGCGCAAGAAGATTGTCCGCTCTGTGCTCGCTCGAGCGCGTCGTTGTGCCGGAGGTGGCATTTACTGGCGGCCATAGCTAAGTCCGTTCCTGCTCAGCGTGAGCTTACGATAGGCTTCGACGGCACTTCTGCAACGTGCTTTGCACACCACCAAGTGCGCTTGCAAAAAAAAACAACAAAAAAAAAAAACTGTGGTGCTTGTCTGTTGAAAGGCTATTGAAAAAAGTCATCAGAGGATATAAAATGTCATCAGATTTTCATCGGACTTTGTCTAACTTTTCTGTTGACGTCCTTTTGTTCATTGGCCCACTTTTTAATAATAAAAAAGTCAACAGAATGTCTGTCACCTCGAAGAATTTTTTTGTAGTTTTTCTTTTGAAAAGCTACAGCCTTTCGATAAAAAATTTCAGCTGTTTAAAAATAAAAAAAAAGAAGCTTTACACGTTAGTAATTCATTCAACAAAGTTTTGGAGGCTTACTACGGTTTTCCACTCTGCTCCAAATTGATTGTCGCAAAATAACGTAAAATAAAACACGTAAATACATTTTTATTATTTTGTTAAGAAATGGTGCCACTCTGGTATTTGAGCGCACTCATACGCCCCACGAGTACACATTAAAAACGAACACAAACACAAACGATTATAATGCAATTAAATGCGAAGATGCATGCGAGCTGGACAATAATGACAAAAATAATCCCTGGAGAAGGGGAACAACCGGGACAAAGGACCAACACAACACCCCAGGAAGCACTCAACCCCTGTATCACAGTCCGGTTGGCTGCTCAAGACCCTTATATAGCCTACATTTTAAAGGCAATCATTTGGCTGGTGTCCACTTTGGCACTTATTGAAGTGCCAAGTATCCGATCTTCTTCTCGAAAGTCTGTCAAAGGGAAGACAGTGTTTCGAAGTTTGTGGATTGTATCTGTTACTGAACAGCATTGGTACAACTAATAATAATTCGCCGCAGTCACTAAAACAACACCCACAGAAACGGCTCTAAGAGGAAATGTTACCGCTTCTCCGCATAGCACCACTTAGGACGAAGAGAGTCAAGGTAGTTGCTTCACCGTAAAAAAGCTTTTTTTGTTGTTTTTTTTTACTAGGTGACTTGTTTAATATAGTCAATTAAGTCACTCTGGTCACTCACAAAGTGAGAACGGCAGGACGTCTTTCGTACGCCTGGTCTCCAGCACGCGCACCATGCCTTCCGTCGTGCTTTGACTGTGCGCGTGCGCTCGAGGTGGGCGAGGCGACGAAGCGTTGTCAAGTGTAGAGTGCTCACGCTAGAGGCGGGACAACTGAAGCTTCTCCCTACCGTTCTCACCTTGTCAGAGACTATTGAGAAACTTAGGGACCAGGGATGGGCAAAATACATGCAAATATGTATCGAAATACAAATACAAAATACTGCGTCAAAAATGTACTTAATTACAAATCTAATTACATTTCCAAAAAAGCATTTAAGTACAAGATACAAATACATCCCAATGTATTTGGTCTCCTCCAAATACATTCCTCAAAATTTGTGTGAGCCACTTCTGGGCACCTGCAACGGGTTTCTGGGTATCTCATTTTAATTTTGCATCGCAGACTCGGGAGTTAGTGTGCGAGGCTCTAGTAACGTAATAAAAATATAATCACAAAAAAATGTAATCAGCTTGGACGTATTAGGTGAAAAAAATACAGAGCTTCAAGCAGCTTTTTGCCGATTACATTTTGGTATAGGCCAACAAAGAACCTAGACGACCAAGACGCGCAGCACTAGCTAGAGAATATTTTATTGCTGCAACTCGCACCAGTTCCGAAAATCTGGACGATCCGCACATTTAGAATGTTCCAGGCAAAAATATGAATGTAAATCAGGCTGGAAAGCATCAAAAGTTGTCACAGGCACTTATTTAGCTAGTCTGCACTGGACTAGCACCGTAATCAAAGTCACTAAACGCTTGTGCTTGATTGAGAGACACTGCATTCGGTGCAGAACGTAGTTTTCTTCCTGCTCTGGAGAGTGTCTTTAAAATAAAGCCGGAGGAAAAAAAGAAAAAAGCCCTATGGCAGAATAAAGGATGGAGACTATATCTTACAACCACATGCATAAAAACAAGATGTATTTTCGCCCGCAAAATTGTATTTAATTAAAATTGTATTTGAAATACCCACATTTTAGTATTTAAATACCCACGTCAAATACATTACCCAATTTGTAATTAAATACAAAGGCAAAATACACAAAGTATTGAAAATACGTATTTCAAATACTTGTATTTGAAATACTGCCCATCCCTGTTAGGGACTCTTGACATCTAGTCAAGATGTACTATGTTAAATAGAAAGTGAACAAAAAGTATGTAGCTTTTCTATTGACACGGGCTACAGAAAGTGAACTGAACATTTTGAACACGAAGTAAACATAACGTATGTAGTCTTTCTAATGACACTGTCAACAGGAAGTCAGCTAATAAAAATAAACGTAGTTAATAAAAAGTCAACAGCTTTTCATTTTGCATCAGGTTGAAGAAAATTATCAAAAACGTTTCAACGCGAAATCAACACTTTCTGTTGATCATTTCATCAGAAAGTAGAAGTCAAAAGAAAGTAATCAGAGTCAACAAGAAATCAACACGTTTTCAATAGGAGGTCAAAACTCATTTTTCTAGAAGTAGTTTTTTTTTTAAAGATAAATGAGTGCTCGTTCTGAGCCTGCCTTCATAGTGGCAATCTCGTTTTTCGGCCGGATACTTTATAATTGTGTATTAATATTTCTTACAGATATTTGATAGTTTGATATCCATGAATGAAAGCAGTAAAACTTCCGTATAATCCTTCCCCACTTATCGGAACAGCTCTAGCGATTAGGCCAGGTCGAGTACATTTTGTGGTACCATGACACGAGCTCTGCATCACACGATGGCCACGCAGCTGATCATCGGGGTTGCCATTATTCTCAGGCCAGTAGTTTCGGCTTCACTGTAGACCCCCGAACCCAATCTTTGAGGTACGATATCTACAAAACTGTACAAGACATTAAGAAAGAAAATACACCTTGAACTTCAGGGACACCTCCTTCACTAAAAACAGTCGTAACCCTAAAATGTAGAAAATGTACCGGAGTTACCTTTTAAAGATCCCAGGCTATATAAAGGTCGTACTGCTCTGGTTGCACGCCTCATCTACAGAAGAGACATCAGGCGCCCCTCAAGGAAAACTTAGTTTCCGTCGAGCGTTGATACAACATATTACCAATATCACGTTGGCATTTCAAAGAAGTGAAGGCAGTGTTTGCGCAGATTTGATCGACGCTCAACTGGCGCTTGCCACGTTGTCAAGGCAAGCGTAGCTCTTGCAATGCTCCAATGATAGGGAGTTTTCGTAGACAGCGTTTTCCCTTCCGCTAAGCCCCCCGCAACAAAGAAGCTGCTACTGCGCCTGCGGGCCAATGTCTTTGACTGTTGTGTTCCGGGTACCATAGCGGGTTGCGGAGCGCGTTGCGGGACGGCGAAAACCATCTACGAAAACTCACTGATGTCAAAGATACTTAAGCGAGCCTGTACGAATGAAACACAAGACGAAGCCACGTGCCCCCGCAACAGTGCGGGGCTGCAGCACTGAAGCTGCGCTAGTTTCGTCAACGTAGCAGAAAATAACCGAAAATAAAAGCTAGGAAAAAAAAAAGAAAAAAAAAAAAACTATAGTCACTGACAAGCTGAGAACGGCTGTAAGGAGCTTCAGTTCTCACGCCTCCAGAGCGAGTTTCTTCGACAATGCTTCGGTGTCTCGTACATATGGAGCGCGCGCGCGTAGACAAAGCGGTGGAGTGCGTGCTAGAGGCCAGGCGTTCAGATGACACACCCTGCCGTTCTTAATCTGTCAGTGACTATACTGGTTGAACTCGAATTACAATGAACTCTAGTTTTGTCAAATCGCCTCCTTGTGGAGGTGCCAACAACTAAAAAACAACGACAAAAACTTTTGTTTTTTGTCTTTTACACATTTCATTGATTTTAGGCCAACAGGGGTGCGGTAGGTCCAAGATCCTTTCTCAGCTGGAAGATGGAGACGGTATTTTCGGCGGTCCGGAAGCAGTTGCTGGAAGCTGGCCCTGGCACGTCGAGTTACACAACGGACAGCAGTCCTGCGCAGGAGCCCTCATTGATGACCAACACGTGATCACCACCGCCACGTGCCTAAGGTGAGGCGGTCGGCCAACTACCCGACCTCTTTTCGAGTCACATTTGCAGTGCCGAGTGGGTGTGCTCTATTGCGTTTCGCCGCACGGGTCAAATGTCTAATCATAAAGGCCCATACGCGCATCCTCGTCTGAACGCGTTTGAGTGCAGAGCGGCGTCCTTGAGGATAGAAGCGTTTGCTAGCGGTAAGATGCGCTCCGTCGCACAACGCCTCGCAAAGCGCCGCAAGGGGGTAGAAACCGGCTCAACTTTGGAGGCGGCAGTAGCTGCAGCGCGTTGCGTCATACCAATCAGAAACTGAGAAAGGAAAGGGAAGTCACGTGTTCGCTCGCGCCACTCGGCGAGGCGTATCCGGATCTCCGTTCGCAAAACTTGCTTTTTCATTTTGGGGAGCGGTGGGGACTGCTTTTTCCAAGGCTGCGACGGTTCAAGCTTGACAGAATGTCGAGGAAGCCAGCGGGATTGTCCCAAGAGCGAACACTTGGAGGCTGTCGCCGGGCGCCGCCATGTTGCCGTGGATTTCGCTTACTATTGGTGAGGCCCTCGCGACGATAGCGCGTTCTTAGTGGCTCTTGACTGCGGTTGTCTGCGTGTCAACACAACTGTGTGTAGTACACGCTTGGAGCAAGTGCTCTTCGCAACGCAACGCGTCCGCTTGCCGCTACGGAACGCACCGCGCTCAAATGCAAATGTGCGTAAAGGCCCGGCCTTGCCCTCGTCCACGGTGGAAGAAGAGAGACAGGTGTCTGAACACCGACGCCTCTCTCTCTTCTTTCGGATGTCGAAGGTTCCCTCCAATTTCTGACAAAAGACGTGAGATGGTGCAGCGTGACATAAGCTCGTAAGGTGCCTACATGTCTTTTTGTCTCAGGGTGAAGACATCTATTGTTGCCCCGAATGTGCCAGCGCGTGACGCTCTCGCGCACTCGGTGCGTTACTTGAGCGGTAAAAAGGCGTCTATGCATTAGCCAAAGCTACGCGCTCGAGCTGAGTTACACCGGATTGCGCGCACTTCAAAATGCATAAAAAACCGATTGGGCGGAAAAATGGCTGAGATGTCACCACTCGAGCAAAAGCGCGCGTGTGTATGACGGCACTCTAGAAGCTCGAGGATCCCTCCTTATTTATTTGCTCACACGTTTTCAAAGCCGAGAGGCGTGTAACCGCGCCTGCGCGCCGAGCCCCAACCCGACTGTGCCCCGCCGCTGGAGATCCGCGAAGCTCGAGTGGAATTTTCACCTTCTTCCTGGCCTTGTTCCGACACCTCTCTCTTTATTATAATGCAATTAAATGCAAAGGTGCAAGCGAGCTGGACAAAGAATGATGAAAATAATCCCTGGAGAAGGGGAACTAGAGGGACAGGTGTTTGGAGATTTGTGTTTGTCCTTTGTCTCTCTAGTTCCCCTTCTCCAGGGATTATTTTCATCACCTCTCTCTTCTTCTATCGTGCCCTCGCCTATACCAGGGGACAGCAAGGAGTTTCTGTTTCCGTGTACAGCTCTAGCTTACTACCACCAATAATGCTTCGGCGTCCGCGAGCCTCGAGCGTGCACGTGGAGCCAAAGCACGACTAAAGGCAACGAGCACGTGCTGGAGGACGGCTGCTCCAAAGACACGCCCCGCCGTTCTCATCTTGTCAGTGACTGTGCGGGCAGAAACTGACGGAGAGAAGGAAACGAGAGCGCGCGAGGACGCCAGAACGCCGAGCTCTGACTAGAATGATTAGTGGGCAAAGCCTTTGTCTCTACTGCCCTCGTTGAACGCTTTCGAACGCAAACGCCGGACGCCGGCGTTTCGCGTTCTAACGCATCTGACGAGTGCAATGGAGACGAACGCGGCTAACTTTGCCTCTACCACCAAATCATTCCATTCAGAGCTCCCCGTTCTGACGTCCCCGCCAGTTCTCGTTTCCTCCTCTCCCTCAGTTTCTGCCCACATAGTTCCAAGTATTTCTACAATGGCAGTCCCACGGCAACTGAAACAAGAAACACTGGGTATGCCTGAAAGTTCCAGCTGCATTGTTCAAACGTGAGCTATTACTTTGGTGGCGTCCCTTAGGCCTAATGCTTGAAGCAAGAAATGCTGGGTAGGCCAGGAAGCCGCGGGCGTGTAAAATACCATTGAACCTTGGTTAAAAGCGCTAAAAACTTCGCACACAAGATAGAAGACAAGCACTGTATTGTACCACGGTTCAGTACAGTCAACACCAACTAGCCCAACAACAAGTTCTTATAGAGTATAACATACCAGTACGGCAAAAGCTACGGTCCCTGCGGACCAATCGGAACAAAGGAGTGAGGCACGTGACTAGGTATCGTCGGAGTGCGCTTTTAGTGCAAAGAAGTGAGAGGCTTTCCGCTGCGTCATGATCCAATATTTTTGCATGGCGCTCGTATACGTAGCGCATGTCGGAAGCCGTCGGAAGGCGATGTGCGACGTAGCATAGTAACCTTTTGCCAGGTTACTCCTAGTAACCTTTTGCCAGGTTACTCCTAGTAACCCTTTGCCAGCTTACTACGAGACATGTGAGCATAACCGTGGGCTCTCACTCTGCTGGCGCCGGCTGACCGTTCTTGCTAATGGTTCAAAGCGCCAGAGCGAGTTCCCTATAAATTATTGTTTTACTTACAATGAAAGCTTAACCTCTTCTACCGGTGTCCACAATCGTGGACGTATTGAGCTGGGTCATGTCTTTTAGTGAAGTGTGTATCTCAATCCAGAAACTCTGTCCCCATATGTGTACATTAATCCCATTTGCGAAATCTGGGCGTGCTCGCTTTTTCGCCAGCTGAAAAAAAAAATGTTTGTCTAAATACAGGGTGCGCTTTTTTTTTTTTTTTTCTTATAGATTTGTTTAAAAAAAGACACGAAAGCTCAACTTATGCGGTTTGTGCTAGTGAGTTATACCCGGGGGGGACATATGGGATTGGCTAATCTTTGCGATAAGTCGGCTAATTATTTAAAATTCGTTAATTAACTTTTAATTAGTGAAAATAGTATGGTTCCAATTCGAAATTTGCTGAGCGCAGTCCAAAACCCCTAAATCAGTCATTTTTAGATGGTGGAGCAGGTACAAGGCTGGGGCTAGATAAAAGACGGAAAAATTGCGCGGGCGCCTTACCGCAACCGCTAGCCTTGTACCTGCTCCACGAGTGGTAACTTTAGTGCAGTACCACGCTTCTCACACGCTGAAAGTTTTTCTGAAAATGACTGATATACTTGTTCTCGATAACGCTCAGCAAGTTTCTAATTGGAACCATATATCTATTTTTGACTAATTAAAAAGTTAATTAACACATTTTAATTAATTAGCTGACTTATCGCAAAGAGTAGCCACCCCCATAATATCCCCCTGGGCGTATAACTCACTCGCACAAACCGGATAAGCGTAGCTCTCATGACTTTTTTAAACAAACCTGTAAGAATAAAAAAGAAAACAAAAAAACCTTGTATATATATAATGGAAATGAGTGAAGACTGACAAGTGCAGCCGCTCCTGGCCCAATTTTTCGCCAGCACTCTTTTCGTTTCCGTTTCCCTAACCTTAAAGCAGTGAATTCAATAATCACTTCATCCCGTTTTCGTTCACAATATATATATATATATATATATATATATATATATATATATATATATATATATATATATATATATATATATATATATATATATATATATATATATATATATATATACAGGTTGTTTCAGAAAACGCAGGTCAAATCGCTCTTGCAAAACTACTTATCACAACGAAAAAATGTTTGTGGCGTTTTGGTCCTGGGCCAGGGGCCCATTTAAGAAAATTATTAAAGTCCCAGATAATTTACTTGTTAATTATTCTCCGTAATTAACTTTTTTATTATTGCGTTTAAGGGCATGGTTTAAATTAGAAAATTGCTCACCATCATCGAAAACCACTAAATCAACAAATTGCACAGCGATAGAAGGCACGCGAAGCATTTTACAGCTTTCTGAAAAACCGCACAAATTCGACAGGTTTTTAAGTTTCGGTTTGTTATGGGAGCGCATCTCCGCCCCGACGGCACCGCGCCCCTTGAAGAGATAGTACAACCAACCTCTGCTGCGCTGTCATCGCGCGACGCAGCAGAGGCTGGTTGTACTATAGACCTTTTCATTTTAGTAGTTGCCTCACCGGCGGATAGAGGGCGCTGGCGCACTCGGCGCCATTAGGTTGCTTCACTTTGATTGGTCTCGGTTTCAACGTGAACGCGGCTATGTTGCTGTTTTACGTTGTTTTTGCTTAATTTTGTGATACGAATATTTTCCTCGTAGCACACAACCAATGAAACAGCGGTATTGAACCACTTTGAAGACTACGAGGTGTATTTTAGCCTAAATTTCGGGCTTTTTTTTTTTTTTTTTACCAACTCCTTTGATGCATCTGATTATGGTCGGTTGCGAAACGCCTGACTGATGTACAGGAGAGATTAGCATCATCTACGGCCGTACCCGATGACCCCCCCACCAATTTCTAGAAAAACAAACTATTGAAGAGACTAACACGTGAACGTAAAGAATCATATCGACAGTTTGATTAGCAATGTGCTGAATCGGCGAGAACAGATGAACTCGCGAGTTTACTACACACTGTTTGGTTTTCGTGGGGCACTCAACCTTTAATGCAATTCGCAGACGAAAAACGTATCGTGTAATGAGGCAGATAATTGATATAAACAAGTAGTATCGTCTCGACCTCCTTTATTATTATTATTATTATTATTATTCAGTACTCGAGCATGGTTTGAGAGGCCGAGTAGGGACTTTCTTAAATTATCAACCCTGCTAAAGTATTCATAAGCAGCATTTCGCGATATTGGCCCTAGAAAATACATTATGTTTATATGAACATTTGCTTACACAAGATATGATATAAGTGACAGGCCCGTCAAATTAAACCTAGCATTTATCTTCCGTAAAATTTGCCATATAAAAGTAAAGGTCGCAGGAGAAGAAATACCTCGGAAAGTTTGCCAGAATCCTAGCGCTAGGCACCACTTCCCGGACCTGAGTGAACAAACATTTATTTGTTTGTACATATTCGCTTTGTAAATTTCGGCGTCGCCAGCCACCAAAAGTAAGTCTCTATTCGCCATCGACAATCCTGGACTCAAGTAATTGTTATGCAGACAACATTTTTTTTTTTTCAGCGTTACATATTGCGGATTTCAGATACTGGCAAAAGGTAAAACAGCATTATAGCGCATGCGCCGAACCCAAACCGCGTTTTATATTTGCAAATATAAATGACGTTATTTCTTCGTGCACGCTATTCTAAAACTCGCTACTGTTAAGTTGAGTGTGGCAGTTTCTTACGCGGAAAGTCCCAACCTTTGCGTAAAATAAACAAAGTGGGTGGCACTGGGTATCTGAATATAATCAATAAATCACTTAAATGACTGTCGAAATGGGAGCGAGCATGGTATACAATTTCTTAAACTTCATAAGTAACCGACCAACCGAATGTTTACGTAGCAAAAAAGATTGAGAACCTCATACACATGTAGGTGTGATGTTATGAACGAACAAGTTGCTTGATGTTGATGTACTATTATTTCTAGCCTCAGATAAAATGCAAGCTAAACGTTCGCTGTCCATCTCCTCCGCGCGTTTTGTCCCATAATCAAAAGAGACTGTTTTTGATATATTTTAAATACAAAGAACGATACTTTCAGGAAATACAGATAGTCTCCTTGCGCCGACTATGCTTGACGCCTTCCGATCCTATAGATGTGCGATATAAATATACGCGCTTTTTACTGAGAATGTTCCACCACTATTAGTAAACAAACTTCAGTTGTCAAAAGGACCTTTCAACCCTTGCGACGTCTTAGTCGTCGAGTAGACGTATCAGACTACAGTTTCCGAAGTAAGGCAAAAAAGCGCGGTGAAACGCGACGAAAAACACGAATACAACGCATCCGCCAAGGCGCGGAGGGGAGAGCGGAGCAGCAAGTTGAAGCAACCTAATGGCCGCCGCGTCACGTGATTTCAAGATGGCAGCGCCCATACGGTGGAGGATGAAATGGTCTATATCTCCACGGGGCGCGGTGCTGCCTGAGCCGAGATGCGCTCCGACAACAAACCGAAACTTAAAACCCGTCGAATTTGTGCGGTTTTTCAGAAAGGCGTAAAATGCTTCCCGTGCCTTCTATCGCTGTGCAATTTGTTGATTTAGTGGTTTTCGATGATGCTGAGAAATTTTCTAATTTAAACCATGCCTTTAAACACAATATTAAAAAGTTAATTATACAAAAATAATTAGCAAGTTAATTATCCCGGACTTTAATAATTTTCTTAAATGGGCCCCTGGCCTACGACCACAACGCCACAAGCTTTTTTTCGTTGCGATGAGCAGTATTCGCAGGAGCGATTTGGCCTGCGTTCTCTGAAACACCCTGTATATATATATATATATATTTTTTTTTTGTTTAATTATTTAAGCTATGTCATATGCTCGTGAGCTTATAATATCGGGACGTGCGCAACTGTCGTCGAAACTCGGAACGACACGAAGAATCCGAATAGTTCCGCCCTTGATCAAGGAGTGGTATGTCTACGCGTGAGGAGTGTCATTGAGTTAGCCTTGCGAGTTAGTGCCAGGTCCCTTATTTATGCGTCGTTGTACTCATAGAGACATGCCGTTGTGCCTTACCATTCACTTATTGCGGCAGCACGCACGCCAGGCCGACGTGTGTTCACTCAGGAGCGCCTGTGCTTTTCCCACGTATGTCCAGGAAGGCAAAGCCGGGGATGCTCAGAGTGCATCTGGGATCACACACGCGAGATACCAGGGAGAACACCGAGGTGGCTGCCAAGGTGCTCCACCATTGTGAAAGCCAAAGCTCGTTCAAGCTAGGCGTGAGTGATTTTCACGTACTCCGCAAACTTTGCTTTCCAGTTATCCCTGAAAAAAGGAAATGTTTTGTATAGTTTGCTGTATTATACATTTGCCGTCGTATTCAAGAAGTCAATGTGTGTTTTTGGCAGTCGAGGTAACTAAAGGGAAAGAAGGTATCTACTCGATGTCCGCACTTCTGGTCCTCTCTCTATCCAACCCCCCTCCCCCCAACCACCAAAACCAAAAGGGGGTGGTAATCGCATGTTTTGTGTTTCTCTATCATGAACGGAGGTAGAAAAATTAAACATCAGCACTACTTTAACACTCCAGTCACGCTCCGTGAATATTAAACAAAATTGTTCCGTTGACGTAGAGCAAAGGTTTCGCCACCTGCAGTTAAGAAGCCCGAGACCGTTGTCAGTGGGTCGAGTGACTCTGCGGTTAATCTTGCAGATCGCCGAGATATTATACTCAAACGCGGATAAGTGATGGAGGGTATCACTATACTATACTCCGCTTCCCACTAAGTCCAAGCGCAGCCGACGTTACAGTCCGTACGAACCAATCATGCAGTGTCAAATGTGCATCGTCGCGACGGTCGCCGTCTTTTTACGTTTTCTATACCACCGGCTAGACCAATCACGCGCACGCCCTGACTTTGCGCTTTCCTTTGTGATAGACGTTCCTAAATGTTTCAAAATCTTCGTATATTCTATAGTCGGATGCAACCTAAGAACAATCTTTTAGCTCCACCCACAAGCGCATTGCGCCCATCTGAAGTGCCTCCGCCGTCGAGAAAGTAGTTCGCTAGCAACGTTGCTTTTTCTTCCTCCAGGAAACCTGTCTTAAACTACTACAATATTTATTTAATTCATTCAGGACATTTAAATAAGTTAGAATACGTTTTTGTCAACGAAATAGCTGTTAGTAAAGAAAGAAAGAAATTCATGTCCAATGTACCGTCTTCCCAATTCATTTTCTGTTCAAGATACTGTCTAACATACCGTCTAACATACCTCTCAGCAGTGCTAAGCCCCGCGCCCGCTTCGAAATTTTCGTTGGCGATAGCGTCACTGGATTCTCACGTTGTCGCGCAAAAACTGCTGCAAACGCAAGCCGATACCATCAAGATTTCGTGGCGTAACCTCGGGCACGTAAAACACGGTGCAAAAAAGCAGAATAATTGTCACGAGAAACTATAGCATCGCGTTGCTAAGGCCAGCAGCCATGTTGAGCTTTTTTTTTTTAAAAGGATCGCGATTGGTCCACAGAATCGTGACGTCATGAAAACAATTGGCTGGCGTTTCTCGGCGTAGGATTACATTTTCCTCTGAGAGGCATTTCCGGTTTTTTCTTAGCTTGCAACCGACTATACGATCCTCGAGCCTTACTATTGGTCTTCTGTACATATTCTATAGATATGTTCTTCATATCCAGCACTTTATTTAGCTATACTTTTTCTCACCCTACGATGGACTAAAGGCCAAAGCCACGAGAAGCCAGGTCCAATCCCGTTCCACGCTGATACGCTTAAGATTGATTAGGGGTGGACGAATAATGCTCGAATCTAAAAGCGCAGCATCATTTCTATAGCTTCGACGCTGCAAAGAGCCTATATATCGTTGCTTTCTTTACAATGTCAAATTGTCGAGTCATTCAGTGATCTTCGATTCAAACCACTCTCCACCCGTCCCCTCATCAGTGATCCGAGACGCGGGCACCGATATGTGCATCGAAGCGAAATACCGCCCAATTTCTAAGTGGTTCGTCATTGGATCTGTCGGTCCGTAGCTTTTGCCTTTAGTCCATAGTAAGGTGAGACGAAGTGTAGTAAAAGGGCCGGCGCTTCGAGAAATACAAAAGCGGGCAGCACTAATTCCTCGCATGTTTTCAAAACTTTGCAAACTTAGCCCGTCGTATATGCATGTTTTTTTTTTGTTTTTTTTTTTATTTTTTTATGATGAAGCTGGCAGATATTGTGAAATATACGAGACGTCTTCATTATGTCTAAATAAGTGGGCATATATCGTATTGCTTAACCCGTCCATTTCGTGTCAACCTTTGCAGAACGATTTCGGTATCCTGAGACTGGAGGCAAAGGTCAACTTCACCGACGTCATCCGACCCATCTGCCTCCCAGAGGGAAGCAGCGAGCTTCCAGATAAGACCATCCTGTACACGACCGGTTCGGATCACAAATCTGGTTAGTGCTAAGGCTATAAACTCGTCAAACAAAAAGTTGGGGTCGAAGTTAACGGAGCGCACCGATCGGACTATCACTACGATAACTTCGCGCTTTTGTCGCCAGCGTCCGGTCGGCGGGCAGGCATATCGTGTGGATGTTACTGAGTGCTTCATTACGTAATGAACAGTTTCAACAATGTCTCGCTGTTTTTTTTTGTGTGTTTTTTTGGTTTTGTGAGCAGTTACGTGTACATGTTTCCTCGCTCCCATATGCTGCCCAACTGAGGACGCTATGGATGGTTTGAACAAAAGTATACTCAAATCTAATTGAATTTTCTTCATTGCCTCATTAGACCTCACGTTGAATTACATGTTGCACCTCGCTTCGCGGGGAAGGGCGGTCGCATAATCTCTACTACGTGATGCACTTGAAAGACTCCAGGACACCAGTCGTACTATAACCCTGATCAAATCGCCCATTTACAGGTTAGACGTCATATATCGCAATCTTTTTAAACTTCCATACAACAAATTTTTAAACGCGGTCTAACCCACCAAATGGTTCATTTTACCTTTTGTGATGATACTCCTTGCCCGCGAATATACTTTCACACATCTTGCAACCACTTACGCTCATTCAAATAAAAAGAAACGTGACAGCGGGTAAAATAAGTTCTGTCATGCGTATATTTAGACAGTGGGAAGTCAGCCGTCTGGTGTACCCCATGTAGATGAGAAAAAAAATTGCCACTGCAGCGCGACTGCTAGCCTGGGGTCCTTAAAGGGATGGTGAACCGAAATTTGGATATCAAAAAAAAATGCAGGAGATGTAGGCGGGACGCTACAATCCCTACAACACTACTAGTAAGGCGATATCTCGAATGGACGGCCGTATTTTTGGAAAAAGAGGTCGAGAATAAACCAGGCCGACGAGGCGCATGACGTCAAGATACCTAGTTTCCTCCTCTCTTCGCTTCGCTCCCTCAAGGCCGCGAGGCGGAGAAGACGCGAGGCCGTTCCCTCTCCTTCTCGGAGAAACATGACGTCACCATTCCTGCCAAATGCGCCTCTTTTTTTGAAAAATACGGTCATCCGTTCGAGATGTCGCTGTATGAGTGATGTTTTGGTGTTTGTAGCATCTCGTTTCACGCTTTTGCCGCGTGTTTTGGGAAATTCAAATTTCGGTTCAGCATCCCTTTAACGTGCACCACACGGTACGGATGCGGGACCGTAGGCCGGTGTACGATGCACGTTAAGATTGAAACTGGCAGGAGTCAAGACGAACTGAGCAAAGCGGTGAGGTTTTTCGTGGGAAAGGGTACGCGCGGACATAGGTGTAAACGGGCATTTCTGCACATCTTCCAGAAGCGCCTAGAGCCGAGGCTGGCGTGCACCCCTTCCATTTTCTTTATTTTTATCCTGTTTCTGTTTTGACACGCGTTCTACAACGCCACAGTGCGAAAAAAAGAAAAGAGAACAAGTTGCATATGGTATTTACCGGAGGCGAAAAACACACACACGCACAAACAATGGTTTAACGACATTCCATGGCAAGGATTAAACTCTCGACGACGAGGTCGGAATCATACGAACCATGACAATTTTTGTTTTACGATCGAGCACAGACTGAATTACGGTCTAGTTGTTTAGATTTGTTTGATTTTTCTCCTTTGCAGCGGGCGGTCTGTGTCAAGCGCGCACTGAAAGCATCACCAACTTCCGTTGCGGCCGCGACTTCCAGATAGCGGTGCACAACACCATTTGTACGACCGCCGACAAGGACCATTCCTGCAGCGTAAGTAAACAACGTCATGATTGAATAGTTTTTCTTCTTTTTTTTTCAACGGGAACGCGTTTATATTAAAAGATCACCGACAGTCATTAGACAGTTTTAGTGGATCGTACGCTAAAGCCTTGCGTACGCAATAAAATTGCGGGTCGGGAGTGCGCGTGCGCAGAACGCAATAGAAGAGCTAGCGTATTGCGTACGCACGCAACGCTGGGGATTTTGCGTGGCGGGCTAGCGGGCTCTGCGGGACGTTCTCGAGAGATCTCGGACCCAACGAGAGCGCCAGTTTCAAGATGGCGGTTACCTCGACTGGCGCAGCAAAGGCGGCGTGGTGTTTTTGAAGTTCTGTGTTAAGTGAAATTGGGTGGTGTTCAGCTCGGCAATTCTTTCCGGGACCTACGGCGGTCGAATCAGATCGCCGTGCAGCTGAAGGAGTGCACAGTGAAAATGTTCGCCGCCTGGAATGTGCGTCAACGCTGCGATCTGCTCAACGCTAAGCCTATTCGCACAGTTCATCGCCGACGGACGAGCGACTCTAAAAGAATTCGCCGAAGTTCTCACTATGTACTGGACATCAGTAGGTCATGAATTTCATTCCGCGATAGCATTGATAAAAGGTGCCGTTTCAAAGGGAAGATTGACGGAGGCTCCGTGATCGAATTTGGCTACGCACTCTTAAGCCTGGTTCAGACAGTTGCGTTTGACTGCGTTCGACTGCGTTGCGGCAGCGAGAAACCAGGACATCCCTGCTACTTATATCGCTTGCTAAGATGATTCTTTGAATTGGATTGCACGCTTCACACGAAGCACAGATGTGCCGGTGACTCGCTTTCGGTTCTCGACGCAACGCAGTCAAACGCACTCAAACGCAAGTGTCTGAACCGGCCTTTACTCGAAGCCTCTGTACCCCACAGAAAAGCGCGCTTGACGAGGCAGCTGCGGCTTGGTTTAATTTGAAATAAAATGATTGGACACGTTTTCATTTTCAATATTTCTTTCCAGGAGCATGGTTGCGCTATAAGCACGCGGAATTCTGCAGCTCTGGCAAATCTAACCAAGATCATGCGCGGTGTTCACTCGAAAACGTAACGCACAACTAAATTCGGTCCGAGCAGGTCATTTTTAGCGTACGCTATACTATTGCGTATTGCGTACGTAAGAGCCAGCAACGCTATACTAAAACTGTCTATTATCTACATTAAAATAATGAAACCGTAACAAATATTTATATGATGTTGTAGACAAGAAGCGGTTCTGACGTCACAAAGTTGGGGATGCGCGGCTGTCGACGCGGAGCATGCGTAAACGCATGACTTGACGCAGATCTGATTCCCGCGCATTCGCAATGCCTACACCACACGTATACAAGTGTGGGCAAATGCTGACTTCTTTGTGAACAGCGGTGTAGGTCTCTCAGCCTATCGTCTGCCATGAGCAATAGTTTGAACGCTGTGAAAGGAATCTAGTGATCACTCGCTGTCATCACGTGCTTATTAAAGGAGCCATGAAACAATATTTTTTCTTATTTTTGCTACATACTACTTAGAATCAAACCCCAACGTTAATATTGAATAAACCTGCCTTAGTTTTTTTTTTTCTAAACAAAAACAGCCGCAAAAAAAAAAAAAAAAAAAACGTTTAGCCTTTTTACTTTGATGAAGAAGGAACACCAGCGAAGCTGTACTATGGTTGGAATGAATAAAGTAATGGCCGGCCGCAACTCGGCAAGCCCGAGTGGAAAGGCTGGAAAGGTTGCCGCCATCTATAAGCTACGCAAAAACCAGACAGCCGGCTTGCCGGTTGTCTGGTTGTCTGGTTGCCGCCGTCGCTCATAGATGGCGGCAGCTGTCAACAGTTTTGTGTTGAGATTTGTTTGCCCACGGACATGATACTGCGGAAACTAGCCCTTAACAGCTCCGCTGTAAAAATTCGAGAGATATGAGCATCGTTTATCCCCTCAACTCGGAGCCAGAGAAGGCGGCCACATGGCCAGGTGCCTTATCCTATGCCGCCAACGTTAATCATACCCACGCGCTGGGGTTGGCAATGTAGAAGACGGTGACGAGGATAGCCGAACTATAACAATGCCTAAAGCTCAGAGCTTTAGGCATTGTTATAGTTCGGCTATCCTCGTCACCGCAGTGGCTGGACACGAGACACTACCCGAGTGTCCGCCGAGGCATTAGGGAGTTTTAGAATAACGTACGCAATTTTAGCGCACGCTCGCGCTAAATTTAGCGCTTGCGTTACCGCTCGCTAGGCAGGAGAGTTTTAGAATAGCGTTTCCCCGCAGCGACGCAAAATGCAACGTCGCGCGCTTGCAGCGCCGCCAAGATGTAGTTGCAGCTAGTAATGCAATTCTCGCATTTCAAAAGGCACGCGAAATGCTGTAAATTAAAAATAAAATAAACATTTTTTTTTGTCACAACAAACATCTTTAAACGTGTTTTAACGTATACTTTTGGTCACAGCCAACCTAATTTTGAGTTTAGTAGGTCACAACTAACAGAGCCAAGACAATCCACACGTGCACAATTTCGCGCCAAATTACGAACCTAGGTTTCGCACGCTTTGAGCTCTGTGAAGTGGTTTCTTTTTTTCTTCTTCTTTCTAATCATGCCTCCAATACGCCGATCGCGATCCAGTGTGCTGGTTGACCATCTTCTTCATATGAACATGTCGTGGAGCGATTTGGAGGACATGTTCCTCCAATACCGGGAGCCAGAACCGCGTAGATACAAGTCAAGTGGGGGGGCTCCTGGATGTCGCCAAACTCGACGACCTGACTTTTCGGCGCATGTTTCGCTTTGAGAAGGACGATTTTGGACTCTTAAATGACGTCCTGCTGATGCCAAAGGTGGTGTACAGCAGCCAAGGGGTTGTTGTTAGCGGGGAGGAGGCCCTCCTTATGTGCCTGCGCCGACTTGCCTACCCAAACCGCTGGTGGGATTTGGAGCGGCGATTGCGCAGAAAAGCGCAATCGCGAGGAGGCTCCTGCCGCTGCTGCTGCCTTCTGAGCCGTCATTTGCCTATTCCCGCAGGATTAGAACACGGATCGTCTTGGCCTGTGGTCTTGGCTTTAGCCCTCTCGCAACTTATCGCGCAGCACGAGAACGACGCAAAGACCCTTTGCGACGTCGGAAATAGCGCGCGCTATTTCCGAGAAATAGCGAGCGCTAAAATTGCGCACGCAAAGCGCAAAACCTGGTTTGCGTTCGGAGCATGCGCAGTGGCGACGACGCTATTCTTTGCGTGCGCAAAGCTTTAGCGTGCGCTATTCTAAAACTCCCTATTGATTGTTACGAGCCGAAATCGAGTGCCTACGCAGTTCGTGTCCAATCCATGAGCCGCGCGACTGTCGCCAGATAGGTGGTTCCGATCCCACAATAGACCGATCTCACTAAGCCTTCGGCGCATGCGTGACGACGCCATAACTCGCAGGGTGCAGACGGCTTTGCATGTTATGGCTCGTGCCCTCTCGTGCTCCACACGCAAAGCTTCAGCGGCGTTGTCAAACGTGCAGAAAGACTAAAGTTCCCTCTAAAGGTTTCCTCGTTGCATTGCCGCAGGGGTGGCGTTGGCAAACTGGCTGGTGAGATAGGTCTATTACGACATCAAGCTCGCAAGGCGGTCCGTGCGAGTATACTTGGACAAGTGGTAATTTGGACGAGTTGGCAAAGACTGGAGACAGAGAGAGAGAGAAAGTCGTTTTATTAAAATAAATGTGAAATTCGGAGAGAATTAGTCTAGCCCATAAGCTGACATTGCTCCTTTGTCCTTGTCTCTCTGTGCGCGATTTTTCATCATGTTCAATACTTGAGCCAGACTAGGACTAGTACGCCTCTGCAAAGTCATGAACAGTCCACCCTAATATCATTTCATAACCCCTTTAACCACAGAGCGACAGAAATCACTTGACACGTATCCAACTCCTGCGCCCGCACAGTGCCCACACCTGGTGTGGGCAAACTCGGACTTCTTTGTCAACAGTCTATTGTTCCACTGGAAGTCGCATGCGAACGCATTCACCGTCACGTGCCCGTACACGTCAGGGCACTTTGTTCCTCTCGTCTCGCCATTGAAACATGGCATTCGGCGCATATCATTCGTATCATATCCCACCAATGCGTACGGATGACATGTAAAAGCTTTCCACGCCGTTCGCGACTGCTCTCTTTTGTTTGCCCTTGCTTGTTTATGGCCAATTAAGTGTGTTAAAAAATATGCTCTTTTGGTGTCCGTAAGTGAGACTCAAGCGTAAAGCAAGATTGCTTAGAGGGTATATTTGAGTATGTAAGCAATGCTTTGTTGTTCGTCTTCCCAATCAGACGAGGTGATTGCGATTAAAAAGATTCATCTAAGCAGCATGTGATTCACGTGCAATATTTTCTCTGTGCTTAAACGCTCGCGATACCAGAACGCACGCACGCTTGCATCCCTATATGAGTTTTCTTTATAAAGATCTGCTCAAGGCGGTCTCAGGTTTCTTAGTTTCAATAGCATATTTTTATTTCCAGAGGCATAGTCATGAATGCACCCAAGACACCTAAAAAAAACCAGTCAAGTGGATCTAGTAATTGTCAAAATTAGTGCAGCCTCAATGTATCCAGTGTGGTTTAGGGACTTCCTGAGTATTTCGTGAAATGCACTTGTCCTTTCTTTGTCACAAATATAAAAATATACCAAAATTGTCTCGGGCTATTTTAAAGGGCAGATAAAAGAGGAATGGTTTTAAACCTCCTGGTCAGTTTGATTAATTGAAATTATTCTCGTCAAAAAGTGCAGTGCTATATGTGCTAATTGACGCGGCATTGAAATATCTTGGAATAAATGGTTTCCGTAATATTACTTCAGCATAAGCTGGCTATCCAATACCTACCTCCTCACGTTCAATTAGACTTTAAAAAAACCTGTAATTAGGCTTACTCTGCTAATTCAAGAAAAGATATACCAGTAGGTATCTAGTAAATGGTGCATCAAAAGTGCGGCCAGAATAACATCAAAGTTCTAGATTCGCTTTTTTTTTTTTTTTTTTTTTGCACCTACCCTGCAGTTTACATGCATAATAAAGAGGCAAACTTGAATTGTAACTTTTTTTAAATATTTCTTGTGTTTTTGTGATGTTCTTTGAGATCCTTAGTAATCGGTCATGTTTTTAGCCAATGTTTTTTTATTGTCGCTGCTGTTCCCGTTTACCGTGTTTTGCCATCGTACACCGTAAAAATACTTTGTCCCACAGAGCGACGAAGGAGGACCTCTGATGCGAGTGGTGGGCGGCGTCTGGTTCCTCGAGGGAGTCTTCAGCAATCAGCTGAACAGTCACAGGAAACCTGGGTCGCCAAAGCGCTACACGAAGGTGTCTCGCTACATCGACTTCGTCGACGGGTACCGCTCTCTCGAGACAATCGCCGAGCTCAAAAAATACTGTGACAATTAGACTGACGAATGCGCTGAGATTTGTAGTAATAAACTTTCTTTTGTTCTTGTGCGGACTCGATAGATGCGTGGTGAATATTTCATTGGAGTTGAGAAACTCTTGTACCTGCTGCGCCTTCGAGGATATGAGGCTCCTTCGCAGTGCAGCTAAACGGACACGGAATCAGCTTTCCTCGTTTGAGTGATAAAACGTAAACGTTCATTCCACTAACGTGCTTTGTTGATGTAACGGGTAACTTTCTTCTCTGAACGGGGAAATGAATTCTTCAATATTTGTAAGCATTGATATCTATCTACATATATGGTGGTTACTTTATTGTTGAATTTTGTTAGAGTCCAAATTGAAACCGAAACTGACTTCAAATCCGGTGCCTTCATTAACACGTGCACCAAATAAGGAAACAAAAGAGACACGAGCACCCCTGCGTCATGTTTTCACGTGCGGTAGCTCGAAAAAATCCCTCCGCGTCTCTCGATCGAACGATATTTTGGGTCAGAATTTGATTGCAAAGGCATTGGAAGCCGGCGACCCGCCCGGCGCCTAACTTCGTCCGAAGAACTGCCCAACTCTACCTTGCGAGGATCCGGCGACGTGCGCTAATGAGCGAAGACTGCGTCCCGGGAAGTCCGGCGGACAGCAAGGCCGACGACACCCCCTGGACAGCTGTCACTCATGTCGACGTGGTTCAAACGGAACTCAACCGACCGCAGGTACTATCAGGGAGTTTAAGTAGTTCGTTACGATACCTCTGATAAGGATACCCTTATGCATGCGTGTGCATGCATAAGGACCCTGCTAAGAGCAATGATGTGATGATGCGAATCCCCCCCTCCCCCTTTTCCTCCGAAAAATGAAAAACCTCGTTTTGACATTTTATCAAATGTAATACACGACCTTGATCGGGTAGCACTTGATGGGGTTGGTGGGATGCGGCTTGCTCGTGTCAGCCGCACCGTAGGCGGGAAGGATAGAGAAGGGAGAGGAAGGGGGGTGCGACAGTCGAGCAGTCCGCTAACACTCTCTTCCCTACTCCTTTTTTTCCTTCTGGCGTGACCAACGACCATCACGAGCAAGCAAGGTACATGGAATGTCCCCATAAAGCTATCGCTTTAAAGCAGGGGTCTCAGAACCCCGGCCCCCTGCAGTCTTCCGACCTGGCCGCGAGTGGCCGCGATCTTTTCAATGAAGCCCAGCCCGCGGCCCGCATCCAGTAACCCGAGCTAGCGGCGCATAAAGTGACACGTAAAAAACGGCGCCACGACACTTTCAAATGCACAGACTAAGATACCAGAAGAAACGGGAGATATTGCATCGTAACACGGGTCGCCTCGCCGTCTTAATTGAATAGTGCCCTCACTAGCACTACCAATATTTGTCCCCTGCTTCATGCCCGCGTAACCATGTAAACATTACATTGCGTTATCTTGTACATTACGATTAGTTTCGTCTTGCTCAACGACTGCATGTTGACAGCCTTACTTTTCCCCTCCTCATTAGTCTCCTGCCCTGTTGAAATATGCCAAAGTTACCACGTGCTTTGATTTATTCCTGGTGAATTTTCTTGGACGCAAGTGTTGTGTAATGACATAATTAACTAAATATTACATAGCAATTTTAAGTATGTGCATTCATCCACTTTAGGTTTTTTTTAATAACTTAACTGAAACTCTAACATTTCTTTCTGTGTTTAAATGTTTATCTCGGTTTATTTACTTAGTTCTCAATCGTCTTTAATTAAATTTTTCCCCTCCATCGAGACTGCGACAGATCGCTAATCCGGCCCCTTAGCCAAAAAGTTTAAAGACCAATGTTTAAAGGAAGAATGATAACCGAATACGATAGGAAGACATTGAAAAAGGCACTCTTGAAACTGGAAGCCTCAGAGGACCAGCCGAACGTTGCCAATCCTTTTGTGAATCAGCTTAAAACCAGGGACTCAAACCAATAAATATAACGGTTCGGTTGCGGTTTTATTTTATTTCTTAATTTATTTAGTTTTTGAGGAGGGAGGGGGGCCCTTCCCGGTCTTAACCGTTTTGGTTACCGGTTGTATGCCAATAAAAAAAAAAATTTATTTTCGGTTCGATGTTTTTTTTAACAAGCAAATAATAAAAAAACATCCAGCTTACGACTATTTTTTTTTTAATGCTCGACAACTATGCTTTTTATAAACGGTTTTAAGTGATTTCTGATATTCTACAACGTGTCAGCGAGGCAAAAGTAATCGGAGTCACAAAAATTCGTTTGTGTGTGGATATATAGAAATCGTGATGGTTGTCAACCATTCAGAGAGACGACATTTCTCAACAAATTTAGACAACGCAGAACGGCCACCCTGGGATCTTCAAGTGCGTCACGCAGTAGTCATGCACGATCGCATGCCGGGACGATGCTCATCCAGTTTGAAACAATTCCTAAACTACTTTACTGCTTAGGATTGGTCAAAACATTCTTCAAAACACATTTTGAAGACATTTTCATAACTTATTTTCAGATAAACGCTACCTCCGATTATTTAATAGGATTCGAAAATATAGGCATCGATAATTTAAGTCAATGAAAATATACCACCTTTTGTTTAGCTCTCCTAACATGGTTTCAGGGATTTAGACTCAATTTCGACGGGAAAACATTGAGTAACATATGACCCGCAGACGAGAAAACATATAAATAACTTTCACTCCCAATAAGCCGACTTCTTTTTGTCATTTCAGTTCGGTCGCACATTTCGTTCACGAAGGCGCCTTGGAAGTTTATTTCTGAAAATCGGGGTTGTGTTGTAAGTGTGTAGAATCTGGATCTGGTGCTATAGGCCAGTTCAGCCTCTGAACGCCGTTACCATAAAGTCCGTAGTCGCTCGTCTTTTCACCGGGGTCACAATTAAACTATTCCATTTGTGAACAGACTATGCATTCCTCATGCCTAAGGTAAATATTTATAAACGTTTAACGTCGTGATGCATTCATAATACCAGGAAACATTATTAAAATTTTAACATCAACCGTTTAAAGGGTTCATGAAACAATTTTTCTACTTTCTCTAAATACTACTCAGAATCACTCACGAACATTAGTACCCAAATAAACTTGCCTTGATTTTTTTTCTTCTAAGCAATGGCAGTCGGCAAATGAATTCGAGAAATATGAGTATCGTTCACCCCCTCCACTCGGAGCCAGAACAAGCGGCCACGTGGCCCAGTGCCTATCCGATGTCGCCAACGCTAAATCCACTGGATCCTAGGAAAGTAGCGCCAAGCTCCCCGTATGGTCGCCAGTTTGGTCCGTGAAATGAGTCATTTTTCCTTGACTCCTCCATACTTGGTGAGCCGATCCAAATTCTCTGGTGACGCATGGGCGTACTAACTGGGGGGGGAGGGGGCGCAAGGGGGGCGTTTGCCCCCCCCCCCCCTCCGTTCTCAGAGTTGGGGGGGGGGGCAAGGCATATGTATTGCCCCCCCTTGAAACAGCCATCACTGGGCAGGGCAAACACTAGCGGGCGGCGCCACAGGGATACCAAAGGTACCGCCCCCGGGCCTGGGGGGGAGGGGGGGGGGGTCTGGTTTGCCCCCCCACTCAAAAACAAGTTGGTACGCCACTGGGTGATGGGTAGCCTTGATCTCACTAAGCGTTCGCCGCATGCGTGACGCCGCCATAACTTTAGTTCATAGGAGGCAGACGGCTGTGCATGCGAGGGCGGCGTGCCGTCTCGTTCTCCACACGTAAAGCTCCAGCGGCGTTGTCAAACGTGCAGAAAGGCTAAAGGGTTTCGATGCATTGAGGCAGCGGTGGCGGAGGCAAACTGGCTGGTGAGATAGGTCTTTTACGACATCGAGCTTGGCGAAGGCAAGTCTGAAATAAATAATAGTCCACTTTTATCTTCGCCAGTTCACCGCGACAAAGAGGCTTCTGAATCAGTGGCGGTCCATGCGCGTATACCTGGGCCAGACTAGGACCAGTACGCCTTTGCAAAGTCATGAACATTCCAATCCGATATTGTTTCATGACCCCTTTAAACTGAGTTCACTGAAATAAACTAATGTCACCTGGCCAACCGGGCGACCGCATTCACTCAAACAGTGGCGTATCAACTTGTTTTTGAGTGGGTGAGGGGGGGGGGGCAAACCAGACCTCCCCCTCCCCCCCCCCCCTCCCCGGGCCGAGGGGCGGTTCCCTAGGGTACCCCTTGGGCGCCGCCGGTCAGTGTTTGCCCTGCCCGGTGGCGGCTGTTTCAGGGGAGGGGGGCAAAACGCACGCCTTGCCCCCCCCCCCCCCCCCCCCTGACAACTGGGGGAGGAGGGTGGGGGCAAGCGCCCCCCATGCCTCCCCGGTTGGTACGCCCATGCGCTCAAATGAAAACGTCATTCGATGAAACATTGTGTACGAGCTTTCGCTCGCTAAAGCGTAGTTCACTCAAGTGAGTGCCTTTCAACAAAAAATTCCGTACTTTCCACATGATCGTGTATTCTCCCTCAATAAAATATTTCGGGAATAGAATATGGCACATATCATGGAAGAGTGGGGCAACCTGAAGCCTCTAAGCTTTCACTCGCATGTAGCATACACGACAGAAACTAACTCTGGCGCCCACCGTCGTCCGGTTAGCCGTTTTGTCAGCTCACCATTGTTGACATCAGAACGGCATCAACGGCATCTATTGGCCCCCAAAAATCACGTGTGGGGAGGAGTTTCTCTCGTTTGTTAAAATCGTCGCAGCCACAGAGACCTTTGGCCACAGTAGAGCTGTCACCGTGAGAATAGGCTCGGCTAACGTCTACTTTTCTGTTTCTATGAAAGCCAACATAAGCATCGAAACGAAATGGGTGGCGACGCTCTACGCGAGTTTCTGATTCCGTAGCGCTCTGTCACGTGCTTTGCTCCGGCTCCCTTTTTGGACCACCAACCCTGCGGCGTCCTGCGTTTGCCAGGTTAAGCTGAAATTGAGTATAGCAACGGAAGCATGCCGCCGGCGCCTTTGTCCACAGCGGCGCCGTCCCACCCGTCCCGTCGTCTGGAACACGGACCCGCCACCAGCTCCGCGCGCCGACCCTTTAGTTTTCGCTGTC